ATACTTCAGTGAAGATTGGTCGGGTCTTGTACAGATCTTCTTGACCACAGGGTCGGCGTCGGTAGGGGAGATTTGACGTTGACGCTTGCCAGCGGAAGGTGATACCGTAGAAGGGATGACAGCAGCTTGTAGAGGTTGCACGCCGTCATGCTCAAGAGCTTCGGAGTCTCTCAGTTGGATGAGACGTTTGTGGAGATCATTACGGGTACCAATATCAGCCAAGTTGCTGTTAGTCTCGACATAGGTGAAGCATATAGTATTGAGCCGTTCTCTCATAAGTTCTCGGAGCAAGCGGAGCTTCTTCTCCATGTACACTTGCATTGGACCAGCATTGGTACGACCGTGTTGTAGAACTGAAAGAACAGTCTTGCTGTCTACGAGAACGTTGATATCCTTAAATAGAGAATCCATACGCATCTCGAGTAAGGCCAATCTCTGCATCGCTAGTAGGACCATCATTAATTCTTTGCAGTTTATATGGAGGGCGACCTCTGTCGACGTGAAAGTGTGTTGGCCTCGGAGAATTTCTTCACCGTTTTGGTAGAAGCGGTAACACCCGCAGTAAGCACCGGCGTCAGTATATACCTCAATAGGGAGAGTGACGTCGATGTGGCGGTGGATGATCGGAGGGGTGGCTTCTTTGAAAGCTTCATGAAATTCTCGCAGCATATTCAATAAGTGTGGTGGTAGTTTTGCATCCCAAGACGAAAGAAGATGGCGGCATTTCGCCACTTGAGACTGTAGTAAGTTGCGAATTGGTAGCAAGAAGAAGGGCAAGACCTCGGGAAGAGACATAACCTTCCCTAGCAATGTTAGTGCGTCCCGCAAGGATGGGTTGCTAGGGAGCTCGTGAGTAATGAAACTCGCCCATCCTCTGTCGCTATAGCGAAGGGAGCGGCCATGATCGACAGTTTGGAGCCCTAAGAAATGGGCAACTTGAACCGTAGATACGTCGACCAGAGTAGTAGGGAAGTGATACTTGTCGAAGAGCTGCTGCAGCTGTTGAGGATGTGGATGATCCGTAGCGACATCGTCCATATAATATTTGATGTTGTAAGGTGACTTCGCGGTG